TGCAAGGCAGTGACGACATTAATTCTCGACAAGGTAATGTTGGAGGAGGCCCTACTCAAAACATTCTTGACGCAAATCATATTTCATTACATTTGCTTTATACTTTTTAAGTTTTTAAATGTACTATAATTAATTTTCGTATTTTATTTAATATAATATAAGTTTGATGAATACAATAATGATGATTTGGATTCAACTAAAAAGTCAATTGCAATAATATCTTCTTGAGCCAAGAGCTAAAAGAACTTCTTCCATTAACATGCTTGAGTTTTGAAAATCCTTAAAGACTATAGGTATCCAGAAATAGTTAAATTAGTAACGAATATACTTTGTGTTTTCATTTCATTTGTAGCAATTGAATCGGCTTTTAGTCTCGGTGGAAGAATTTTGAAATAAATATCAAAGTTCCATGACACTTGAAATGGTTGAACTTGAAGCTTTAATTTACATTAGGAATTGATTGTTTGGAGAAAAATGTAATATTTTATAATTTATTGTTTACTTATATTAACTAATAATTTGTATTGATTATTCATTTTTTTGTTCCTTATCCAGCTAAGGCATGTTACTTTTGAAACACTAACTCAACCGAAAGCATCATGATTCGCGGATATGAACTTTGCCTAAGATAAAACAAAAGCAATGAATTCTAATAAACTTTAAGTTGACGTTTATTGAGATTTTTTTTAACATCGGTTTTAGATTTTTGCTTATATATCTTTTAGGAAGACATAAATTTAACTTTGCATATTGTTTCTACTAATCTCATTATGAAAACAAAAAAGAATCGATAGAAAGTATGTTGGAGAAACTGACAAAGGAATTTGTTTTTGGGAGAAGAAATTGAAATTCTGCTTATGTCTTTTGCATTAACGTTGTTAATTTTTATTCGTATGTAAATGGATTTGGATTTTTGTGTTTGCATGAATGTTTTTAACTTTTTTATTTGAATATGTTTATCACTTTATCAATTTTTTATTGGAATTTGGATGTACTTAATAGTTTATTTTTCTGAAAATTTCCCTAATTAAACAAGTTTGACCCACGAATCCAATTCTAACCAACGAACACGAATCTGACCCACAAAGTTGAATCTGACCCGTGAACACGTATAATTAAATGGGTTCGTTGGTCTTGACCCATTTATGGCTAATCTGAGTTAGGGTTGAGCAAGACAACACAAATATTCATATGGGTCTTAGCAGGGTTGAGTTTTTATGACCTACCAATTGACAACCCTTTGTGTGTGAGTGAGTAATGTTTTCCTTAAAATTCTCTTTACCATCAACTCATAACTCCCCCTCCCACTCATAACTCTCTAAAAACACTCGTCACCACCACCTAGTATCTCCTCTCCGCCTTCATACAATAAATTTCCATTAACCTGTTTTATCTCTTTTTTGAACTTTTTAGTTTAATATATAGAAATATAATGGAGGATTATTAAATGTTTGTTAGAATAAAATAATTGGGTCTTTGCAATCGTACGAAAGATCTTGTATTGATGAGCGAAGTGATGTTGTAGCCCTCTAGCTAGGATGTTTCCTTGTTTTTTTTTATATTTCTAGCTTCTTTTAGATTTTTTGCTTAATTAATCATATACTAAGTCGCTTGCTGTTGAAAAAAGATGATGGGGTCTTTAAGTGTGTTTGTTTGGGGGTTAGCAGTGTTAGTATGTTTATCCCCAATGTTGAATTACTTCAAAGGAGGTGTCTTGGCCTTCCACAAGGTTTCCAAACATTTACAACATATTAGCGCTTTTGACATCAAACAAGTTTATAGAACTGGCTACCACTTTCAACCCAAGAAGCACTGGATCAATGGTATATATACCATGGTGGTCATCTTAATTTGCTCAGTACACATGTTATCTAATGCTTATTGTAGATCAAAACACACGTTCGCACATACATGCGTTCATACGTGTGCTTCCTTTTCTTCTTCAATGTTGCATGTTTTTACAAAATTTAGTACAAGTTCATAAATTAAATAATTTTCATACATAAAAAATCTACAATCAATTTTATAATTTTGAATAAGTTCATAGAAATTCCGATTGTACCAACAAAGCAAATAGGAATTTTTTTTTTTTTAATGATATCAGTTGTTGATCTTTCTCTTTGTTATGGGTTCAGTTTGTATGAACCAGCACTAGACTTTTAATTTCCCTTTCGTAAAACGCAAATGGGAGTTTTTTCTATCATAACAAACTGATATGATTTCTACTTAATTTTGTTTTGCATGATTTGATACT